TCAAATAGTTCAATACACCTCGACCATTCCAACGAGATGCTTGTTCAAGTTCTTCATCTGTGACACCAACTATTTGACAAAAATCGACCATGCCAAAAGGTGTTTCCAGTGTGCCAAGTTGGGCATCCTGGGCTATGAGAATATTTTGCAAACGTGAACTACTTTTACCATCAAGACTTTTGCGCCATGGTATGTTATCACCAAAACACAAACTGTTGCCAGTTTGGAAGCAGTAGCGTGCAATAGACTGCAAAAGATTTGCTGGCCAAGTTGGTGGTCGTCTTGGTTTATCCGGATTCTCTTGTTCTTCTCTTAACTCTTCCTGTGTCTTTTGTAAGCGGAAAGTCAATTCAAAACCCATGCCTGAGCGCAAATTCATTTCCGGATTATCATTTTCCAGAACATGCACTCTGCCATCACCATGTAAATCACTAAGGCCAAAACTGACATAATGCCAATGCGGAGGTATACCTTTAGCAGGATCACCTCTGTTATTGTACATGCTAATGTAGTCCAAAGGATCTTGTCCTCCTAGCCAATATTTGAGTAATGTTGTTACTTGCAAAGGATTCGGTTGATCAGGATACACACATTGTAGCATATCAATTAAAGCTTTTAGACCAGCTGGTGGGGGAGGTGGCACTTGTCTGTTGTCATCACTATTAGGAGTTGGTGCTGCTGGAGTTGAGGAGGCCATCTTTTAAGTACGATAGGCAATAATAATTGATATTCTTTTAAAATAAAAAACAAATTAACAAAAACAAACTAAAAAGTAAACAAGCTGTCAGAGCCCTGCGCCGACAAATATTAACGGCGGCGGCGACTGACACTAAATATGTCGGCGGCGGCTTAAAATCGACTGTAAGCCGCTAAGTTTTCAACTACGTTTAGTTTTTAATTTTTCTACGATTTTAAATAAAAACGGAATCCGAGAGATCAGAAAGTGGGATTTTGGAAGCAAATATATTGTTTATAACAACAAAACAGAGCAAGCTCATAAGTTGTGTGAGAAATTACGCAGGGATGAATAAAAAATTCTTAAAAATTAAAAACAAATCCTTTCTCCAAGTTTTACTAGGATCTACCGATATTTAACCCTATCCTCCATATAAAACATTGCAGAAAATCAGTTTCTGAAAAATTTTGCATTAAGAAAATGATCAATAACGTAAAAACAAAGATTTTTTATTTGTTTATTTACTAGCTATACCCAGCGTGCTGTGCTAACCTAAAAGCAATATAAATAAGAAACCCACTTAACGATTATGATGATTCTAACTACAATGGTTTTCCAGATATACAATTTGTTACATATGGGAGATTCCACGCAAATTATTGCAATTTCGCCAATTATTCCGAACGTTAATTAAGATTTTAATTTAATCTATGAAAAATTTGAATAATCTAATAGCTTCCCAGATATACAAAATTTTGTATTTAATTCATATGGGAAGTGCCAAGCCCCCCATTGAAAGTCCGCCCGTTATTCTCTAAATGTTCTTCAGTAAAATTTGAAGATTCTACCTCTAATAGTTTCTCAGATATACGAATTTTTCTATTTAATTCATATGGGAGCTCCATGCCCACCAGATGAAAGTCAGATGAATATTAAAGTTCTTCGTGCAAAATTTTAAGAATTTAGTTCTATTAGTTTCTCAGATAAACGAATTTTTGTATTTAATTCATATGGGAGGTTCCGCTCCCCTCATTGGTAGTCCCCCAATTTATTACCCAAAATGTTTACATGGATGTTAAAGTTCTTCCAGAACAACAAAGAGATTGAAAAATATTACAAAAGTTTCACTTTGAAAACATTATTAGAGTGTATGAAAACTCGCAACTCTAAAGGCAGACTATTCCTATTTTAGCGGTAATTTATGATTAAAATAAGTGAGAAGTAATTTATATTCGGTAAATCATATGTCGTAAAAAAACAAATTTCGGAAGTGGTATATATATATATATGATAAAAGTCCATATATATATATATATATATATATATATATATATATATATATATATATATATATATATATATATATATATATATATATATATATATATATATATATATATATATATATATATATATATGGACTTTGATCATTAGATTAATAAGAACGTCACCGTGATTTTCGGATTAGGGGCTTAAATGTGGAATTGGATCAATTATGGACAAAGTTCTCTATAATTTAAAGTATTGTTTTTAATTCTACCATAATTATATCATAATGATAACTTTTGGAATGATGTATTAGCTATAAACTGATTTTCTGTAAGAGAGTTATATTGGCGGACCGATCTGATAGTTTTATTTCTCATAAATGTAGGTTTCGGTTCCTAAAAATGTTTTTTTCGTAGACATCGACATTTGAAAGCCATTTATGTGCGTTTAAGTCATTTTCTGAAGAAGATTTCATATACATATTTACATTACATATTTTCGTTCCAACAAAAATTGTTTTATTATGGTATTATTAAGTACATAGAAAACGTTAAAATCAATTATTGAAGGGGGCAGGGTCAATTATGGCCTATAGAGATTTCGATTGATATCGAGCCCTTTTTGCAAAATGGATGTAAGCGAGATAAATTTTCGTTCAATTAGGATACTGCGTGTTTAATTTAATGTTTATATGTACATATATTCAATATTTTAGAAAATTCAAAAAGTACCAGTTAAAGAACGAAAAATTACCAGAAATACTCCATTTTAAATTTTCATTCACTCAAGTCTCTGATTGCTTAGTTTTATGTTTTTAGGTTCATTATAATAGAAAATTCAAATAGAACCAGTTGAAGAACGAAAAAGTTCCAAAAAGTCCCGTTTTATATGTTCTCACTTACTCCATGCCCTACAGGTTTAATTTTATGTCTATAGGTTCAATATTATAGAAAATTCAAAAAATACCTTTTGAAGAACGAAAAAGTACCAAAAAGTCCCCTTTTATATGTTATCACTTAATCCGGGTTGTACATTTTTAATTTCATGTTTCTAGGTTCAATATTATAAAAAATTCAAAAAGTACCAGTCGAAGAACGAAAAAGTACTAAAAAGTCCCTTTTTATAGATTATAATTTACTCCGGGCTCTACATATTTATTTTTATGTTTCTAGGTTTAATTTTATGGAAAACTCAAAAAGTACCAGTCGAAGTACGATAAAGTTCCCATTTTATAGATTCTCATTTACTCCAGGCTCTAAGTGCTTTTCATGTTTCGAGGTTCAAATTTTGTAGCAAGCTCAAAAAGTACCAGTCAAAGAACGAAAAAGTACCAAAAAGTGCCATTTTATAGATTCACATTTACTCCAGGCTCTACGTGCATAATTTCATGTTTCTATGTTCAATTTAATAGAAAACTCAAAAAGTACCTTTTGAAGAACGAAAAAGTACCAAAAAGTCCAGTTTTATAGATTCTCAAATTCTTAATTACATGTTTCTAAGTTCTGAGTCAAAAAAGTACCAGTTGCAACATTGTCTTGGGAGCCCGTTATTATGTATTCATATGTATAAGTTAATAAACCAAAAACAATGTTTTATAAAAAAGTACCAAAAATAGGTACAATTTTCACCCCTTAAACGTCCGAATATCCAAAAAGTACTAAATTCATATTTTTATTTGTTCGTCAAGTTATGAAGGATTCAAAAATATTTTTTGAATGTTTTCTGGTTTATAAGATACATGGGGTGCAAAAGAAGTACCAAATTACAGTTTCTACCTTATTCCCCAAAGGGGCCGAATTTGAAAAAATTACCGGACACCTGTCCGCTTTTTTTAAATGAACGACGATAAGCTTCAACTATTTTTGTAACTTTTCTAGTTTAGCAGATTTGAGGTTACCGAATTTACGTTTTTACCCTTTTTTAACCCTCAAAAAATTCGAATTTCCAAAAATCCCATCTTATTGGATACATTTGGTGGGAGACCAACCTCCTGCCCAAATTTCAGCTCTTTAGCTTCAAGGCTCTAGGCTCTACGATGATGAATCAGTCAGTCAGTCAGTAACGTTAGAATTTTATATACGTATGTATGTATATAGATTTCGTGCATTGAATTATACTGTAAAAACATTGTAATGTTCGACTTGAATTCAAGTTTCGTTTTCACTGGAGAATGTTATTGAATTAAAGTGTAATGAAAGTGTATTTCAACACTTAAAATTTGAATGTTTGACTGGAAATGGTCCCCCAACCGTAATGTCAAAAAGCAACAAGAAGAAGTATATAAAAGCATTAATTTTAAGAAAAAGAATAATGGGCCTAATTAATAGCGACACAAACCTTCTTTACTTATTTTAAATTCATTCATTCATTATTCATTTTAAATTCTTTTAAACAAACCAATATTTTTTGTAATTTAAATTTTTGTTTATGACGTTTTTTTTTTGTTATAGCTATGTTCATTAAATAAAAGTAAGAAAAAAATCATTCCTGTTCTAAAAACATTATGCTTATTCCGTACTTATCTGTATTCCAAGTTCTTACAATAAATCGTTCCCGTACTATAATTTGAACGTATTTTGTTGTTTTTCTTATTATTTCCAATTCTAAATATTTCTGAATAAAACCTGTAAAACTGACGAGTGCGGGAACATACATATTATGTCGTATTAAGATGCTTTTGAACATGAAAATGTTCGAGTCGAATTTAAAGTGTTTTTTGAAAAATCATGATGCGTTTCAAAAAAAACTCAAATGTGTGAACGTAGTATAAAACCACAGCTGAAAACTTAACTGGCACTGAGGCTATTTTAAGCCGTCAAAAAAATTGTTAGTGTCAGTCTCCACCGCCGAAATTGTTTGTCGGCGTAGGTCTATGAGAAGAACATCAAAAAACAAACTGTGAAAAATTTGCAAGTAGAAATTTTTTTAGCCAAAATAATTTCTTTCACAATTATTATTAAATAAATTACCAAAAAAAAGACGCACAAACATGGAACCCTATAACCAGCCCGTTGTAATTGATAATGTAAGTACAAATAGAACGATTTTAGCAAGACAAAAGGAAAATTTGTTGGAAAAAATTGCAAGAGGTGCGGTATAATTGCAAATGACAGTGACATCACCTGCCTTTGCTGCCGCGCTGGCTCCCCTCTACTCCATCAAATATCGGTTAGTTGGCTGTTTGTATGGCTAAATCCTAATAAGTCTACCAACAAAATAACACGATGATGACTAAACCCTTTATTAAAGAAATTGGGTGGTTAACAAATGATTACGAATATTATTAAAAGCAATAGTTAAGAAAATTTGATGCTCTTGACGATGCTAAAATGTTTTTTATTTTAATTTTCAATGTTTATATTTTATGCATGCAGCGGGGTCGTATAGACCACCTAAACGTATTCCTTCGTCTAAAACCATATGCCTACGATAATTTAATGGATAAATAACTGGTTGTCTTTCAGCCACCCAACGGGGCGGTTGCATTAGTTGTATACTGCATTTATCAGGATAACGATTACCACCACATTTACCATAGTGCCTTTTAAATGCCTGGGGCCGTGGCAGTTTGTTATAAGGATCACGATAATAGTCACGAAAATTTTGACAATCCAGATAAAAATTATCAATTTCTTGTAAACGCCCATAATCAACTATTGCTAATCCGATCTTGGGTGCAAAATTCATTATTGATTTACGTTGATTGCGCGAGCTTTGCGATACAAGCAACATGTCCGCCTCGGGTGCTGAAATCGTCTTCATTTTATTATAATTTAAAAAAATAACTATTAATGTGTAAATATTTCAATTGAAAACAAAATTTATTTTTCATAATTGTTTGCTTTTTATTTTTTCAGGGTTCTGGTATGATCAAAGCTGGTTTTGCTGGTGAGCACATTCCAAAGTGCAGATTTCCAAATTAGTATGTTTTATAAAGATGGGCATTGTATTTAAGTCATTAATATTATATTGATATTGCAGTGTGGGTCGCCCTAAACATGTTCGAGTTATGGCTGGCGCTTTGGAAGGTGATCTCTTTGTAGGACCGAAAGCTGAAGAACATCGTGGCCTACTTAGCATACGCTATCCAATGGAACATGGTATAGTTACCGATTGGAATGATATGGAACATATCTGGGGTTATATCTATAGTAAAGTAAGTTAAAATCAATAATATCGTGTATATTATTATTGTTGCTATATTAGTGTAGGAAAAGGGTTATTTGATAACATAGGGATTTGTTTATACAATTATATTTTAAAAACTAAAATATTTAGTTGATATTTTCTAAAAGTACTAATAATTTAAAAAAAAAAAACTGCACAAAAACATATTATCCATCCCATAATATAATGGTTTCGCGCATAAATACTTTATTAAATTCATTCCGCTCAATTGGCATAAAAGCCTATAGAAGAATTTATTTCTCGAAAGACTCATCCTACAAATTGTGTAATTAAGATTTTATTTTCATATTTAAACAAACACTAAGACCTAAAAGCCCATTTTAGATAGAAATGTGTTTAAGCTTTTATTACAAAACAATAAAATTAAAAAATTATTATTACATCAGGAACAATTATCAACATGTACCGATGAACATCCCGTATTGTTGACAGAGGCTCCTCTAAATCCTCGTAGAAATCGTGAAAAGGCAGCCGAATTCTTTTTTGAAGGTATTAATGCTCCTGCTCTATTTGTTTCTATGCAAGCCGTATTGAGTCTGTAAGTTAATACATTCCAATAAATTAATAATTTTGTAATCAATAACCATCTTAATTTAATAGATACGCCACTGGTCGTGTTACAGGCGTGGTTTTGGATTCGGGTGATGGTGTTACGCATGCTGTACCCATTTATGAGGGTTTCGCTATGCCCCACAGCATTATGCGTGTAGATATTGCTGGTCGAGATGTTTCACGCTATTTAAGAACACTCATACGCAGAGAAGGTTTTAATTTCCGTTCAACAGCTGAATTTGAAATTGTACGTTCGATCAAAGAGAAAGTGTGCTACTTAGCTACCAATCCACAAAAGGAAGAATCAGTGGAAACTGAAAAATTCGCCTACACTCTGCCAGATGGCAAAACATTAGAGGTAATTTAAAAGAAAATGAATCATTTTTGAGTATTAACTATTAAATTTGCTTGTTATATTTCCAGATTGGTCAAGCTCGTTTCAGAGCACCTGAAGTATTGTTCCGACCTGATTTATTGGGTGAGGAGTGTGAAGGCATTCACGATGTTCTCATGTATGCCATTGAAAAATCCGATATGGATCTCAGAAAAATGCTCTATCAGAATATTGTATTATCGGGTGGTTCTACACTCTTCAAAGGATTCGGTGATCGTTTATTATCTGAATTAAGAAAACATTCTGCCAAGGATCTTAAGATTAGAGTAAGTCCGTTCATTCATTACTTTTTTATGTTTCTAAAATTGCGTTTATATATTTAATGTAGATCGCTGCTCCCCAAGAACGTCTTTATTCAACGTGGATGGGTGGCTCCATTTTGGCCTCTCTTGATACTTTCAAGAAAATGTGGATTTCAAAGCGCGAGTATGAAGAAGAAGGCCAACGTGCTGTGCATAAAAAGACTTTTTAGAGCAATTATACTCATTATTATTTATTGTACAATGCTTGTATTACCCTATTTTTCTTTTTAATTTCACTCTTTTTATTTTTTCCCCTTCTAATTTTAATTCCATTCAATTTGCGTCTTTATGAGAGAATTTAAGCGAAAAAGATTACTACAACTATTATCAACTAACTGATCTAGTTATTTATTAAAATTTGTCTAATTGTGTAAAAAAAAAAAACAAAAACAAAACAAATGAAACAGCATTCAAACGCAAACCAGCTATTGGAAATCAATACTTATACATATACTTAATTGAAAAAAAAAAAACATCTTTAATATAATTATGTATTAAGAAGACTCAAAGAAGAGAACACAAAAAATATTCGAAATCTCTGTGCTTGTGCTTTGTTGTTTTTGTTTATTCTAAGACAATAGAATTTCGAAATAAATTTCCTTAACCAAACTAGCATTTAGGCACAATGTCTCTACTTAAAGTAATAATAATAACAACAACAACAAAAAGTGGTATTAAAAATATACAATTTCATATTGGATTGTGAAATAAAAAAAAGCTTTTTTTTAATTTTACATACATATAGACTACATGAGATAAAATCTAACAGAGTTCCTACTGAAACAGTAAGGCGACCCAGTCTTAATAGATCTTTCTTGCATTGTCTGATTAATAGGGTAGTGTCAGTATAAGAGTTAAATGAAAGAAGTATCACTTATCGACAAAGTAGTAGAGAGATTATGCCGCCCTGTAGTGAGCCTCCACTTGCTTGGAATTATCTCTGTTACCAAGACTTGCCTAATCGTTACTACCATTACTAATAAAATAGCCATACCGAAATAAGCCAAAATACCGTTACCGTCAAAATATCATTACCGAAGTAAATTACAATATGATAATGCAAATATTCCTACCAGAACAGACACCGCAATTCTTTTTAGAACCATCTGCAATGCCACCACTAAGGCTTGATAGATTACTTTTACACAATTCGTTTCTGAAAGGAACTCTGACTTTATTTGGTTATTTGGTCGGTTCGTTCTAGGATGGAGATAGTAGGATTCAAATCTAAACATGTCCATAAGTTCTTGCCCTTCAACTTTCTTGCTGCGCTGCAGGTAGATGTGGCCATTATATGTAGATCTAAAGGCACTGAAAGAATAGTTCTTAGAGCACCTGTTATTCTTAGTTGAAGTCCACCATTAGCGAATGGTATGGCAAGCCAATAATCGATTTTCGATTTTTTCGATCAACTATTTTAATTTCCATTTTTAAGTCGATTAATCGGGCCCAATAATCGATTATTTTGACCGATTACGACAATTTTTAAGATATTTTTATATAAACATTTTATTATATTAGTTCGAAATCTAATTAAAATATTAGATGCACCTCAAAAAAGGTGCTTTAATTACCCATCTTAAAATATTTATTGTTATGGAGTTTACTGTTGTCCCTTCGTGATTTGGACAGTTTTTACATATTTAGAAGGAAAATTCCAAAACTAAAAATATGTTCAAAAAATATTTTTATGGTATTCTAGATGGTGTAATAGATCTACTATTTTGCTTAACATGACAGAAAAATATGCCAATTTACATAGTTAGGAAATTTAAGTTTTAACAGAAATTTAAAATATGGAGTTATTATTTTAAACCTTTAGATATATTTCAAATTTATCGAAAACATAAATTTGAGTTATTAATTAAATTAAGCAATATTATAGTTAAACATTACTATCCAACTTTAAATTTTTATTCTCCAATATTTAACGATATTTGCTAAATTTTGGAATATTTAAAGAAAATACCCCTTTATAACAAAATGTCAGTTTTCCCGATAATCGCAAAAATTCGCAAAATATTGCCAGTTGAAATAAAATCCCATTATTTCCGACAAACGGATTCTTAAAGTTTCATACTGGAAAGAGGTCGGACTTTTTTTAAAAGATTATATGAAGTTGGTGATCGCAAAGATTTAAGAAGTTATACAAAACATCCATGTTTTACGTACTCCCACATTCTTTTTTGGTCAGTTTTTTACGTTAATTAATTAAAGTACTTTCTTTTATCTTTTATATCCAACATTAATTTTTATACCCAACATCAAAAAAGATGGAAGTATATTGTTTTTGTCATTCCGTTTGTAACACATCGAAATATTCATCTAAGACCCATAAAAGTATATATATTCTGGATCCTTATTAAATTCTAAGACGATCTAGTCACGTCCGTCTGTCTGTTGAAAACACGATAGAGTCGAAATGGAAGTAGCTAGTTGAAATTTTGCATCGATATTTTATATCAATGCAGTTTGTTTAGTATTGAAAACTCTCATAACTGTCTAAAAGAAACATCTATAGCAATGAAATTCGTCATGAACATATTTTATAGGAACCTTTATAACCTTAAACAATTTTATAAGGATCGGTTCATAATTGACCCTATCCCCAATATAAGGTCCGCTTCAGAAAATGACTTCAACGCTCATAACTGTCTAAAAGAATAAATTTCGACATGAACATATTTTATGGGAACCTAAATCGCTTGATCTTACTTACTTTCTTAATTTTTTTTTCGCTTAAGTTGAAAAAAGAATCTGCAAAAATCTGTATTCGCAATTACATTTTATTTTTTTATGAAAAAAGCAACTTTAGTGGCTTGTTATTAAAGAGTAATTTAATGTTGATGGAAACAAAATACACGATGCGACGATATAATAAAATAGTTTTGGACAAAGAAAGTGGTCGTCTGAACCATAGTGCAGTGTACAAATCTTGATAATGTTGTGCATTTTTTTTATTTTTATAAAAACCTTACAATTACATATATACATATTTTGTTTGGAATATGACAATTATAAGGAGGGCGTTATTTATGATTTTTCACCATTGGATGCGGCCTTACAAATGTATCAAAAATATATATGGGCAATTTCGTGTCAAGTGACCGAACTCAAAAAATCCATTTGGATGAAATTTGCACCAAGGTTAGTACAGTTCAGTACTAACCTTTCAGTTCTATTGGTCAAGAACTGCCGGACTTAGAGGGGGTCATAGCGAAACTCTGCCATGATGTGAACCTACTTACATATATCACTAAAAATTTCATTGAAACAAAAATCGCGTTATTGTTACCCCACGAAATTGCCCATGTACTAACATTTTAAAAAATAATTAGAAAATACCTTACTTAAAATTGGTCTAGCTTACGAATGGTTATCGCTAGTCTCAAAATACCTATATTGAAAATCGTTCTAAAACATGAGCAAAGTAAATTTTAAGAGGGGTAACAACACGATTTTAGTTTCCATGAAATTTATTAGATTAGGTTGCTGTGCTTTTTTATAGAGACTGCCGACAAATGTGGACCGATTTTCATAATATTTAAGAGAGTTATAGAAAAATAATTTGTGTAAAATTTGATAATTAAAAATTTGAAACATTATGCCTTTTATTTTGAGGAGCAAAATTTTCGATTAATCGATGCAGAAAATCGATTTCAGTATAAAATTGGTAATGTAGAATCGATCACAAAATAATCGATTTTTTACAGAAATAATCGATTAATGGTCATAATCGAAGTCGATTTACCATTCCCTATCCACCATACAAGAGATCCGTTTAAAAACATGGGTCGTACATACATCCATTTAACTATGTTGGGTTAGTTCCCATTTCATCCTAAACATTTTACGACAGGTGTAGTAGGCGACCGTTGCTTTCTTGACTTTAAATCAGTGTTGCCCATACACACACTGTTACACATTCATTTGTATTGGTAAAGCAGCAGAGAACAAAATGTAATCCAAAATAAAACTGTACTAATAAAATGATTGCATACTAAAAAGTATATTCTAACTGTCAAATTGATATTATGGATTTTGACAGACAGCGTACATTAAAGTTCATATATAAAAAACTATCAGCTGTGCTCTCTCATTCACCTACATAAATTCGGCTTTCTCAAAATTTTGTTGTTGTATTTCTGTTTGGATTTTAAAAAGGTTGCGTACAGATCTTACTTCGACAAATGCTGATCAGCAACTGAGTTGATTTTGTTTTGCAAGTTGAGAGATAATCAACTAGCACATGCTCAAGTAAGAAAATACACAAGTAAGCTTATAGTGTAGGTGAGTCAACGCAACGTCAGCAGAATATTCTTGCCCTATCTCGCGTGATAGGGAATAGTGATTTTGGGCACCATTGCTTTAAATTATAATAATTTGGAGTCTAGGATAATTCCAAGATTATAAGCATTGTTTGATAAGGGAACATCGCATTTCTTTTACTGTGGCAAGTTGAAGCTTGACCTTTGTTTTGAATAATACCAGTCCAGTCTTGCTTGAATTTTCTTCTAGGCCACTGTCTGTTGTCCAGTCGTTGAGTAACATCAGAGTGTTGGAGTAGCATCACTAATCACGTCTGGTAAGATTCCTGGTACTAGTGTTACAATATTGTCCGAGTAAGCAACAACTTTTATCCCTCTATTCTCCAATTCATTAAGAATGAGTTAACAACAATAACCCAAATTAGTAGAGAGATTATGCCGCCCTGTAGTGAGCCTCCACTTGCTTGGAATTATCTCTGTTACCAAGACTTGCCTAATCGTTACTACCATTACTAAAAACCTTACCGAAATAAGCCAAAATACCGTTACCGTCAAAATATCATTACCGAAGAAAATCACAATACGGTCTCACTATCATTATTACATGATATTTTTTAATGTAAAATCTAATATCAGTTGGTTGTGCGAGAAGTAAATTTCTTATTTGTTTCCAAAATATTGGTACTGCTAAAAACACTATACACAGTGGTTTAGAAACTTTTATTTTTGGAAATAATTCGGTAACTCTGAAACTATTGGATATATCGCAATGAAATTTCACATGTTTTGAGCTGAGGTGTTTTCGAGTTCATTGACAGCTGTAGGTGATCGAGGGCAGAAAAATTAATACCCGAGTTGATGAGCTCGGGTCTTATTTTTTTTTAATCGCCAAAAATCCATTTCTGATCGGATTGAGCTAAAATTTAAAATAGGACTACTCCTTGTGTGGGTTATCTCTTTACTTTAGAAATGAGAGATTTGGCAAATTTTTGTTTTTACGAAAAAAATTATATTTTTGTCAGCTTTTATCTGATTTCTACGTTTCATTTTATTCATAAAAGTAAAACAATTTAAAACAAGTTAGAGTGCTATATTCGGCTGAGCCGAATCTTAAATACCCTCCACCAGCTACTTTTATATTAATACTTTTCTAATTGATCAATATTTGTAGAAATAAGTTTTCTCAAGATTTAAACATTACAAACGCCATTTGCTTTTATATTTTTATAGCGCCCTAAGATATGCTTTAGCGATATTTAGTAATTTGCATGTATGCATGTGTGTGAAAGATTTAAGGATTTTCAAAATAAATATATATAATTTTGTTCTACACAAATTGATAATGCAACTAGTGAAATACTGTTAAAGCGCTTTTAGGGGCAGGACATAGTATGGGAGATATGACCAATTATAGACCGATCGTAAAAATTTCTTTAAGCAAAATTTCTGTTCATAAAAGCTATATTTCAGTCAAATTTTGTATCTATATCGTAATTTAGTAATAAGTAATGTGTGTTTAAGTGATTTTCTGAAGGGAACCTTGTATGGCACCGACCGCACCCATGTTATGAACCGATCGTGAAAAAATCTTGAAATAGAATTTTTGTATACAAAATTAATATTTGGGCCAAATTTTTTATCAATAGCTTTATTTGGTAATGATGTAATGACCTTGTATGGGAGCTATGACCAATTATGTATATAAAGACAAAATTTCAAAATTCTGTATCTATATCATTATTTGGTAATGAATATTGTGCATTTAAGTGATTTTCTGGAGGGGAACTATGACCAAATATGAACCGATCGTAAAACAATTTTATAGTTTAATTTAAGTATATAAGAATAATATTTTTGCTAAATGTATGGATATCAATATTTTGTAATGAGTTATGCGCGTTTAAGTGATTTTCGGGAGGGAACCTTGTATGGGAGCTATGACCAAAGTTGGACCGATCATGAAAAAATGTTCAAATAACATTTCTGTGTACAAAAATAGTATTTATGCCAAATGTTTTATGGGTATCACTATTTGATAATGAGTTATGTGCCTTTAAGTGTTTTTCTGAAAGCGACCTTGGGAGCTATGATCAATTATGGACCGATAGGAAAACAAATTCACAGTAATATTTGTCTGTATATGAGCAATGCTTGTGCTAAACTTTATATAAATATCTTAATTTAGTAATTAGTTATGTGCGTTTAAGTGATTTTCGGGAGGGGACCTTGTATGGGAGCTATGACCAATTATGGACCGATCGGAAAAAAAAGCACAGTAATATTTTCGTGCATATGTGGATATCTTAATTTTGTAATGAGTTATGTGCGTTTAAGTGATTTTCGGGATGGGACCTTGTATGGGAGCTATGACCAATTATGGACCGATCGGAAAAAAAATCACAGTAATATTTTCGTGCATATGTGGATATCTTAATTTTGTAATGAGTTATGTGCGTTTAAGTGATTTTCGGGAGGGGACCTTGTATGGGAGCTATGTCCAATTATGGACCGATCCAGAAAATTTTTTCTCTGAATGAATTCTATTCACATAAGATTTTAATTTGTAAAATTTTGTAAAATTTCGACATTGTGACGGAAGTTATTAACAAAAAACCCATTTTCCGTGAATATGTACTTTTGTATGGGAGGTATATGAAATTGTTGACCGATTCTGGCAATTTTCAGCAGGAGTCAAGCTCTTGTGTAGAAACGAATGTATGGTGATTTTCATGGAATTATCTTGCATAGTTTTCGAGAAATGTCAGAATGTGTAAAAAATGCTTTTTTTTTCGAGGTTGTTTCAAATTTTGATTCATAACTTTTCCCGGTGTGAACCGATTTTGCTTATTTTCAATACTAAACTGCCTAGGACAATAATAAATATTTTGGGTGAAATTCGTTAATTTTTGTTGCTTCGTGTTAACGTGAGAATATTTTATACAGACAGACAGACAGACGGACATAGCTAAATCGACTCAGTTGGGTCTAAGATGAATATTTCTTGGTGTTACACACGGAATGACAAAGTATAAAAATGTGTATTCAAATAAAGTGTGGGTCAAAAATTATCTTGAATTGCAAAAAAAAATAAAAAATATAAAAATTTGTATTTAGATCTAATTCTTATTTGTGTCGAATTTTGTCACAATATTCGTATTTTTGAGCCAGTAATGAGCGTTAAAGTCATTTTCAAAAGGGGACCTTATATAGAAAATATAAAAATTTGTATTTAGATCTAATTCTTATTTGTGTCGAATTTTGTCACAATATTCGTATTTTTGAGCCAGTAATGAGCGTTAAAGTCATTTTCAAAAGGGGACCTTATATAGGGGGTAGGGTCATTAATGGGCCGATCCTAAAAAAAATTGGTAGAAAGGGTCTATAATATAGACTTATCAAATTTCAAATATGTCTCATGTATTTTTGGTGTGGAATCCATTTTTTGTTGTAAGTGAATATTCGATAAATAAAATTTCAATTTAGATGACAAACATAATAAACTCTACTATCTGAATTTGGTTTAATTTTTTCAAATCCCTTGATTTGTTTAAAACCTATTTAAAAAATAGTAAAATGACATTAAACATTTAAAGCCATTTTTCTCGAAACGACTTTTTTGGATTGTGCCAGTCATGTAGTAATTGAGCCAAATTTATTTATTATTTTAAATAGTTGAACAAGATGTCCAAAATTAAAAAAAAATTGAGATAAACTTTAACGTATAAATTTTATTTTATTTACACAAAAAATCATATCAGAATATATCTAAATTTTGCAAATTTGGAAACGATTTTTTCTTTCCATTGCACCTAAAAACCATTAATAAGCGTAAATAGCTTTGGGAATGTTGTAAGAACTGGGCCATCGTTTATTTTAATAAAATTATTGGGTAACCTATATTTGAGGTAGGGTGACCATTAATTGTCTTGGTATGAAGTATTACATTCACCCTGTATAAGTATAATGTATTTTAATACATTTGCAAAAATATTCAACTGATACACACAACCGGCAGTTATATCAACAAACTTTGTGGTGTAAAAAATAAAATTTATTTTTTCTTTCGTTTCATTTTCAGTTAGTAAATGTTCAGTTGTTAAATCGTTAAGTTGTGTTGTTGTTCCAAACACCGCTTACAAAAAAGTTGTCATAGAGACACAAAATTTAAACAAAAAAATAATAATTGTTTCAATGAAAGTATGTACATAGATGTGAATGACTACATACAATAATTATACTTATGAAGTGAACATTTTTAAAAATTGATGTGATAGATAAAGTTAATATTTACAGTATTTGTAAAATAGTGATATTTTTTAAACAAACCGAAAAAAAAACTTAAAAAATTTTGAATTGGTTGTTAATTCCTTAATCTGAAATTAAAGAAAAACAGGAAATTCATTTTTATACGTAATTACATGGAAAGCTAAATCAAATTAAGATGGCCCAAGTAATCCACAGTGTTAATGGCATGATGAACAATGAAACAGAGGTAAATCTTGAACTGTTAAATGTAATTTATTAAAATATAATTTTCGTTATTTTCCCTCGTTTTTTTTTTTGCAATCGCAAAAATAAAATAATAAACAATAAAAGAAATCATTGAAATAAAACTAATTTCGGATATATAATTACAGATATACATATATAAATGTATACATACATATAATTATACAATAAATTAAAACAAAATTTTAACAAAAAAAAAAGCAATTGAAAAACCAGAAACCAACTAAGTATTGCTTATTTACTTTAAATTTGTAATATATCAAAAAAATAAAATTTTGAGAAAAATCTTTGAATACAGCTTTTTAAAAAATATACATATCTTAATAAGTTTTTATACCCTACACCACTTTAGTGGGGAGGGTATATTGGATTTGTGCTGATGTTTGTAACATACAAAAATATTCGTCCTAGACCCACCTTAAAGTATACCAATCGGCTTAGAATCGTTTTCTGAGTCGATTAAGCTATGTCCGTCCGTCCGTCCGTCTGGCTGGTTGTCCATGTAAACCTTGTGCGCAAGGTACAGGTCGCAATTTTCAAGATAATTGGATGAAATTTGGCACGCACGTTTTATTTGACCTAAGGACGAAGCCTATTGAAAATGGTTAAAATCGGTCCATTATTTCACGTAGCCCCCATACAACAGAACCCCCCGAAAAGGGCTTCTGAGCTCATAATTATGTTAAATATACAGATATATCGATAAAATACGGCACAATTAAGTTTTATAGAAGTCTTGATGACCCTGCCAAATTTCATAAAGATCGGGCCACATTTGACCCTAGCTCCCATACAAAGTCCCCTTCAGAAAATTACTTGAATGTCCCAAATTAGCTCATAAACACAAATATCGCGATGAAATTCAGCACAATAAAATATTATGTCAATATAAATATATTCACAAAATTTTATTGGGCTTGGTCCATATTTGCCCCTAGCCCCCATATAAAGCCTCTTTCAGAAAACTAGTTTTTCATCCATAAATTGCTTAAATGTATCGGAACAAGGGAATATTGAAGATAAATGCTTTATTATGAAAAATAAATCACATTTAATATTCATAACTGGTGTAGAGTATCATATGGTCGGCCACGCCCGACTAATATCTTACTTGTTTTTTTTTAAATCATTTTTAAATTTTGACGTTTACAACAAAAAATCGGTCCAAAATCAGTAAATATTTTTAAATAAAACAGTATAATTTTTAAGTATTCAGTTGAAACAAAAAAATATACATATGTACATAGGTATAATATTTAGATATGACACTCTTACAGTAATGAATAATATGTATCATTGTATGTACGTATAGTTTTAATATTCGTACGAGTTAATTGCAGTATTTTTGGTCTAAATTAGTAAAATTAGTTTGTTAAAAAAATAAACAAAGAGATATCCACAGATATTAAATTAAAGAAAAATACAAGTAAGATGATATAAACAAAAGTTCGTGTATTAGTCATATACAAGTCTTTCAAATCTTTCAATTTATTTGAATTAAATTTAAATTTTGTATATGAATAAAAGTAATACGACGATGTGCAATTCAGCATTCTTTGTTTAGCTTAAATGAAGAATGACTACAGTCAGCAAATAACATTTTTTACTATTTTCATCATTTTTATTTTATACATATATATACATATATATTTACATATTTTTTTAAAATTTAAATTAATATTATGTACATATTTTAATCAATAATTGTCCAGTGTTTTATAAGGTGTCAATGTATCCATTTTAATAAATTTTTTTTTTTCAAATATCTATCTACAGGAGTGATTTGAATTGTTATACAGTCAAACTCGTTTATAACGAACTCCGCGGGACCAGTCAAATTTGTTCGTTATAAGCGAAGTTCGTAATAAGACAGGTGAAGTTTTTGTAGTTCCAAAAATAAAGTGGCATTTTACGAAATTTTAAGAATATGATTTATAAATTTTAATATTCTTTACAAAAAAACACCATCGATTTTATTTGTTCATATTTTTCTTAACAAATTAAGGTTTTTTTCAACAAAGCAAAATATATCCTTATGATTTGAACACATAATTTTGAAGTTCGTTATAAAAAAGGAAAATTGTATGAAATTGTACTTAAGGGACTGAAAAAATAGTTCGTTTTATACGAGGATTCGTAATAACCGAGTTCTTTATAAGAGATGTTTTTTTGTATAAAAATAGTTACCAAAATAGCGGGACTTGAAAACTTGTTCGTAATAACCGAGAATTCGTTATAACCGAGTTCGTTATAAAGCGAGTTGGACTGTATAAACAGTAAGCAAGTCATCAATCGTGATTTTAGTGTCCCAATCGTGACTTTATTAATATAGATATAATATATAATTTATTAATATAGATATATAATATAGATAATACACTTTAAACATTTTTGTCTGTACTGTACCATTGAAATAAATAATAAAGACGTTCTAAACTGATATCGTCAAAGACATATTATGTATATTTGTCTCAATAAATATATATTTAAAGAAAATCTAAATGTCAATTATTTAGAGGTCACGTCATTTTCGTCAAATATTTGATAGGTGTGAATGTAGCATTAGTAAAGTGTATATTTGTAATCGATTAGGTTATAATGCTGTAGAAAGACCTATTATATTATATTAAAATCGGGACATCCAAATCAAACTACAGGGTAGACTATTATTTTCATACTCTTCAACTTCCTGAGAAGTACAGGTACATACATACATATGTACATATTTACATTACATATGTATGTATTAGGGTGATCGACTCGGTTTTTCAACCGGTTTTTTCTGCCTTACCAGTGTCGGTTTTTTCTAAGTGTTGATTTTTCGAAACCCGGTTTCGAATACATTTATTTGCTTTGTATTCAAAGATTACTTCAATTAAATTTTGAAGTAAATAATAATACAACCGTCTAAATTTGAAAATTTTGGCGTCCAGGAACTAGATTACATATTTCTAAAGCACCTTTGGTTAAACTTTTTTGATTTTCCTAATTTATTAACAAATTTTATTTGTGAAATTGTTTGGAATAACTGTTTAATACAATATTAACAATCTTAAGATTATAATCCAATTACAATAATTAATTTGCGTCTGAAATATTATGGAAGAGCCTATAAAAATTGGAATGCCTATGAAAATTGCTTAAGCAGGGATTTTAGAAAAAGTAGGATTACATAGTTCCTTATGTTTAACAGAAGTGTCCCACTTTTTTCCTTATTTGTTTACATTAAAGAAATAATGTAAATTTGACTACTGGATCTAATCATTAGATCCTAATGTTATAATCTATTAAACTGTTAGAGATCAGTTCGGGCCATGTTTTATTAATAAACTTTAAACATAAACGTTAATTTTTTCAAATTAAAATAATTTTTTTTATTTATAATGAAAAATCGGTTAACAGGTTTTTTCTGAATTTGAAAAATATCAACCGGTTTATTCAAATGTCAACTATTCGAAAACCGGTTTTTGGAAAATGTCGAATAATCGATCACCCTAATATGTATGTATATTAACTTTGTCATTCCGTGGATTTAGCGATGTCGGTATGTTTATTGAAAACAATTTTAATCAGACATGCTTTATGGAAAGTTTGTTTATTGGCGTGTTAGTAAAATGTTACATGCCCAACTGGCTGATCCGATTGAATTCTTCATATGATCCAAAATAGTACTTTCTAAACAAATAGATTTGCTAAACCAATTAAGATATCCACTAATGTAGGCGACAAAACAAAATTACGGAATACGTACATGTCAACATATACAGTCTTTTTCACGAAACAATATACAATATCATAGTAAGTATTTCCGAATAATTTCGAAATGCCAAAATCCAAAAAAA